CCCCTGCCACAAGAGGTGGTGAAGGCAAATGGGAACAGCAGGACGTTTTACATAAAGTTATGGGCAATAGGTCCATAAATAGATACTGAAAGGACTGGGCAGGGTTTTTCCCTCCAACAACAGCTGTAGGTGCTAGTGACCAGAAGGTGATGGACCACCGGGCAGAGAAGACTGGGCTGGACCAACCTCTAGATCTGACCCAGCAAATCAGATTTTGGTCCCCTGTTCTCAGACAAACACAGGCAGTCGGGTTGGAGTTGTTTTCCTTCAGTCGGAGCCATAAACACCATCCACACTCACACTTAGAAAGAGACCCAGCCCTACCCATGTTTTTCCCACGCTCACGTTTATAAAAGCAAAGCTACCAGCCCAGCCGAGGGGTGGCACAGCTCCTGCAGAAGGAGACGGGGAGATGCCAGCCCCCCGGATGGATAGACGGTATAGGGAAGCGGTGCCTGGCGTGCAGAGGGGATGGAGACGGGGCACACGGCGGCAGCAGAGGACTGGTCGTCACCCCTCGCTGGTGCACGGCGCAGCGCTCTTCATCTCTCTGAAGGCAACCGTACTTGAACTGTCTGGTGGGTGGGGTAGCAAGAACAAAGACTAAATGTAAACACACTGAGATATTAAATATATAAATTGTTAGGCAATACCATAGTTTAGAAAGTATAGTTGCCCAGAATTTGTTTGTGCAGGCCGGTTAAATACTGTTTAGGCAGAGTCAAATAACTATGGACGTTTAAAGGTGATTTCCATCGATAAAGTGATTTAATTGATAACTCTGAAGAAAGCTTCCAGCTTCAGGTTTCAATGGGCATTTTATTTATTTATTTATTTATTACAAGGTAAATAATTAAGTTATTGCAAGGAAGATTGAAGTCTAAAATGGATTTCCAATGGCAGATCCTGTGTTTTAGAAATGATGACGTGCCAGACAGAGCTCTACAACCCTTTGTTGTAGGCTATTATGGACAGAGCTCTTAAATGTGAGCTGGAGATTAAATCCCAGGCAACAGTCTAAAAACATCTGTACTGGGTCTGGCTGGGATGCAGTTAACTTTCTTCATAGCACAGGGATGGGACACAGCCAATTGGCCAAAGCAATACTCCATGCCATACAACGTCATGCTCAGCAATAAAAACTGGGGAGGGGGATGTTGTCTTCCAAGGTAGCTGTCACTCAGAGACTGGCTGGGCATTGGGCTGCTCCTGGGAGGTGGAGAGTGATTGCCTTTGCATCACTTGTTTTTATTCTCTTTCCTTCACTTACTAAACTGTCTTTCTCTCGACCCAGTTTTTTCGCTTTTGCTCTTCCTATTCCCTCCACCTGTCCCACTTGGGGGTGGGGGGTGGAGCGAGCGAGCAGCTGTGTGGGTGCTTAGCTGTTGGCTGGGGTCAACCCACCACAACATCCTTGTTCTTCACACCCTTACAGGAAAGTACAAAGAATGCCTAAGCACCCTATCCTACACACACACTACGGGCAGGGATAGTTACCCTTCTCCATCACCCATGTCAGGGCTGTGGCTGTCTTCTGCCCTGCCTTCCTGGAATTTTTTTGCTTTGGAAATCACAGTGCAGGCTCAATAGGGAATTGGCTGTCAATCTGCAGTGGACCTGAGATGTGTCCAACGCATGCACATAGATTTGGCAATTGGTCCCCCTCTTTAAACACAGCCATAGTAGAACGTTGGTTCATCATTTAGAGGTCTGGAGGTTAAGAGTGTCTTGCTTTTAGGGTACAGAAGCCACACTTCACTGAGTAAGACACCTTTGACTTTCATCTTCTGAGAAAACAGATAATGGAAGTCTATAGTCCAGGGAAAGGGCAGGGCAACTCTGGTCACACTCATCTGGAGGCACTGTCCTCCCTGAAAGATGCAAGACTAAGATCGCACTCACAGTCATAAGAGTCCCATAGCACTTGAAGAATGAGACATTATCACAGGTCTTGCAAGATGCTCAGGCCTCTCAAAGGTCATATGCAGCTCTTGCTGAAGCATCATCACTGTAGAGGCTGAATGGGATCAAGGAGAGGCCCTTGAGCTTCATTACATAGTCATGACATCAAGGAAATGTTGGTGGGAAAGGACCTCTAGAGGTCTTTATCCACGGTTCCACCAAAAGCAAGATTATTCCCAGTACTGGATCAGATTGGCCCTGGCTTTGAGCAGTCAAGTTTTGGAAATCACCCAGGATGGAGATCCCTCACCTCTGTGGTGACTGCCCCAGGGCTGCTCCCCACTCCCCAGAGAAAGAAGCATTTCCACATGTCTAGCATCAACATCCAAAGGTGCAACAACATTTTCCCTTAACATATCATCTGCCACTACAGAGAGGCATTTGGCTCTATTACCTTTTGCCCTCCAAGGAGTCATAGGCTGCTCTCAGCCTGCTCTCAGCCTCCCCATGACCAGACCCAATAAACTCAGCACCATCCTCCTCTCGTTTTAGGGTCGCTGCCGGTTTGTCAGCCTCTACGGGGCCTCACCGGTGTCTCCACATCCCTCGCACCAGGCAGACCAAAACTGGACCTAGCACCCAGACGTGGCCTCCCTTGCACCGAACAGCGGGGGTGATACCTAACTGAGACCAGGCGGCCACCTGTCTGCTCCTGTAGGCCAGACTGCGGTTCTCCGACTTTGAAGTGAGAGCACATTGTTGGCCCCTACTCAGTTTGGCGTCCGCCACCCCTCCCGGGTCCTTTCCAGTAAGGCTGCTACGCCACAGCTCCTAATTAGAGCGTTATCGTGCCCTGCCCTCATCCAGGGCTGCCTGCCACCGGCACATACTTCAGGTGGGTGTTTGGCCCCAAAGCAGAAACATGTCTTACATCCGAGAGTTCTCACCCAACTCATGGAGCCCTTTCTTGCAACACTCGCTTTCTTTGCTAGCAGTCCACGTGGCATGTTCTCCAGTGAGCACAGAGCTTTTTCCATTGCAATGTACTGTTCTTCTTCAGGTGCTTCCACTACCCATTGTGCTCAAGTTTAATAATCATATTTTCTATAAAATTATTGCCAAAGATTCTGTCTTAATTCTTGATATTTGTCTTTCGGCCTCAATTCTTCGACTGTCTTAATACTCTTCTATGACTACCTTCCTACCTGCTTTTACCAGGCCATAGTTTAGCAAGAAAATGCACGTTTATGAAACTCTACTGAACTCTCTTGCAAATTAAGCAGCAGTGAGAATC